AACCACTCTTCTTAACCACTCTTCTTAACCACTCTTCTTAACCATTCACTACCACTTGGAATAGAACTGAGATCGAAGATTTCTCACTGAATTTGCTCCTTGGTCTGCAAGTGACTACAGCTTTATAGAACCATGTCTTCTGACTCCTAGGTGATACGTCTATCATTCCACATTGGTAGATCTCTTCTTTGAAAATCAGTTCAAAAGAGAAAGAAAATAATATCATCAAATAAAAAGTACGGGCAAACAGGATCGTCTCATGTGAATTTCGCAAAATATTATTATACTATACTAGGGCTCTTCTCATAACTTTGGTTGCCAGTCCGCTCGAAATCCAGTTTCAAGGTTTTGTCCTCGTTGGTTCTTTATTCAAATCTTGGCAAGACCCAAGTCGGCTTTCATCTGGCCTAGTTCATCCATAATTGCGAGTAGGAAAAGATAAACACATGTTTACTAACTATACATATTACGCCTAGCGTCAATAAAAATATACAGGAGGTTGAAAAGGAATCAAAAAGAACAAAGTGGTGAAAATTTCGAGCGCTTCTGTGCTGTAGCTACATCGAAAGAATAAAGCAAGCAAGTTTTATGTAGGAAGCCCAAGATCTAAAGGCAGACCGAGAGAAGACGCAAATAAACAGATTTTGTGCAGTTCTTAGCTTCCTCAATAATCCCTAGCACCACGAAGAGGTTTCTGCACATCGCTAGGGGGGGGGGGGGTATATGATTCGCTTCCTTCGAGTCTGAAGGAGCGCAGGATACCCACAGGATTCAAGAGGGAGCACAAGATTCTCGTGACACTCGGTGGAGGGAGCATGAGAGAATAGGTGCGGATGTGCCCTTTTATCTAACAATGATACAGTATTCAGCAAGTGCCAATTAGTAGCGCTAATTAAGCCAGCATTTCATTATCGACCTAGAAGTCAGCAGACATGCTCCACATTTACAGTGATGTATTTCTGAGGGGCACCTGCAACCAGTGCGCTGACTTTTGTTTTCTCTTTTCGCGAAGCGGATTGAACTCTTTAACATGTGGTAACTTCAGGATCGTGATGGGTGGAATGTCATGGCTATTGAACATTCAATGAATGAATAATCTGGTTGGCCAGAAAGTTCCGTTACGCATAGTCAATTTATTTGATGACAAGTAGCCACAGAAAAATACAGGCACTAGTCCGTGCCGTATCTTGTGTAATGTAGTCCGCCATAGCTATATTCCCTCCACCTTTCTCATTCCCCTTCTTACTCGCACTTCCCCTCTTCCCTTCACGGTCCTTCTTCCCCAGCTCTTTTTCTCGTCAATGACCAATACGCGCCACCGCTCATCTACTACACAAGCCAACGGCTACGCTTCCCGCTTTGCTGAATTGATGTCTCCACAGCAAGAGCAAAATCCGCAAGAAGCGGCTTCGACCCGCCACAAGCACCAGCCAGAACTGCCCAGCTACTCATCGCAACTGAAGTCTGCTCTAGCACAAAAGGCATCCCTCCAGGACTCGGAGTAAGTTCTCATCCTCTAGTGGCTGGATTGATCGTGCTAACTGTTCTGTTGACAGTATGAACACACGCGTCAGGTGAGTTCTATGACCTGATTTGATCCGACAAACGCTACTTTACGGACGACGATCGGAATCCTGCTGATTCGAAATAGGAAGATCGAGAATTTCATCGGCGATATCCAGCAGAATGGCTTTGTGGACATGCTGGCCGAGAATGCGACATTACTGAGCAAAACCACGGTGCTGAAAGACAGGATACAGGAGTTAGAGGAGTCACAGGAGACTCTGAGAGCCCTTCTCAATGAGCTGTGCCAGGTCAATGGGGTTTCCACCGTTCAGAGGGATCCAAAGCGTAGGAAGCGAGCACGCCCCCTGTGACTTTGAAAGGAATGAAGCACTTCCATAGTATGGTGCATTTACCCAAATTTATCCTAGTCTCTGGTTTGATCAATAAATGCCACTATTTAGGTCATAGGATTATATATTTAGTCCGATCCGAAGTGGATTGGGCACCACCAAAGCAAAAACCGTTTAAAACCGACACGGCCAAGGCAGTCCCACATGCATTCGACCTTCCGATTCGTCATTTACGACGGGAAGGCTGGCACGTCGCTAAGAAACATAGATAGTGGGGCCCCCCAGTACGAACCATGGAATCGCGGGCGCTCTGTGCGCAGCTGTACATACCTCGATCTCGCATCGGTTTATTGAATTACTAGCAACCACACCCGTTGCTTTGTATCCAATTCTAGCGCTACACCGTACATTGTGAAATTATTTGGCGAGACCGGAATCGCGACGTCCATTTGGAGCCTAATACTGTATGCTTTCGAGGTATATCTGTACAAGAAAGGCAATATTAGACAAATTTAAAGTAGCAGATTTTGATTGTTATTAATACAGTGCACTGGATATCGGTCTCAGTCGGTTAATTCAAGCAAAATTCCATGCACAGACGCACACATCAAGTCTGAGTGGGAGGAAATTTCCGTGTGTACAGCAGGAATGAATGTTGACAATCCATCAGGTTGCAGCATTGCGTGACGCTTTGCTGGTAGTTGCCGCAAGATGTACGAATTTCCAGAGAGAAGAAGTGTCTTTCCCGTGATCGGATTTCAAATTGTGTGGCATTCGAATGGTATAACCTAGCAAATTGTTAGCCCTTCTGATGCCGCCAACCGGGCTGCCGCTTCAACTTACCAGGTAGGGCCTGGCCTGCACTCCCAAGGGCTCCTCTGGCGTAGCGGCAAGTGGAGGCTGCCAAGCTCTGTCTCATGTGAGATAAACGGGAAGTCTCTGCGCTGCGAGCTCTGGGCGTGAAGATTGGAGGAGGCGGTGGAAAAGCTCTCGGGGTATCTTCGCATAGGACCGATGGCCGATGCCCTATGAAGGAGGCTTTAGACCTATTCTTCTGCACAGCACGAAGTTTTCGTAGTAGATAGTTCCGTTTGCTTCGCAACGCCTCACCTGTCCGTTTCAACCCAAATTGCTTGAAGTATGCCTTGGCTTTTGCCTTCCATGTCATCCGTTGGTGCCGTAGCAGCCATAGAGGGAGGTTCTTTTTCTCCCATGAAGACCAAGCAATGGTGTTGGGTTTCGGCATCTTGGCGAAGACTAGCAAGCCTCTGTAAGCAAGGGCAGAGGAAAGTGAGGCTGTGTAGGTACGGTGCACAGTGGAAGTGCTTAAAGGAAACTGGTCGAACTTGGGGGTGGTCATTGGCTTTTCAATGACATTGCCCGGTGAAACGCTAGTGTGTATTCTTTCGCTAAACACTTGTGTTTTAGACCGGTTACAGGGCACTAAAATATGTAGTGAGAAAACAACATCTATTACGCAGACAAGAACGAGCTGTAGGGTGTCGGTTACCAGGGCAAAGCCCGCACAACCAATGGATGGGCATGGTGGACCAGGTTGACCAGGTTGACCGGAGTGTTCATGCTGGTGGAAAAGACCAGCGGCTTTGTGAGGCTAATGTGTCATGGTATCTCACCCGTTGAGAAAACGGTCAATCTACTAGGTTATTTGTCATTCAAGTTTCAAACTAAATCCCGGTCAAATATCGGATGTAGTTCAGTCAAAAGTACGTATTCCTTCCAATTTCCGATGCCCTGGCCAGATGAAGGTCTTTGGTCCCTGCCTTGCGTGTAGATCTGAACTTTGTTCATCGACAATACTACATTACTACAAAATCGGTTCAATGGGCTTTTGGTGCACTGAGGGAAGGACTAGGCCCTACTCGACGATTAATATTTTATTTTATTTTTTTGTTACTGCGCCGCAACGTCCCCTCTTCCACTCTGTTTATTCTATATTTTTCATTTTTGTTTTATTTATTTCCTTTTTTTCTAACTGACCAACTCCAAACTCCATATTCATTCCGAAGTCGCTGGATTCCCACTGGAAGACTCAGGTACAACTCTCCTAGTGAACAGGGATGTATCCGTCTAATTTATCCTTCTCTAGGGACAATAGGCGGTATCAGCGACGATAATTTTCTCGGCATTCTTTTGAGTTGAACCTTTAAAAGGAGCAGATCCCCTCGCTGAGGAGAGAAGTTACCCTACATTCTTGGTTCTCAAGCTTCTAACCCTTTTCTTCTTGGTCTGCAACCTACCATCAACACTATTATAATGGGTGTTCAAAGAACTCTGCCTAATAGCATCTTGCGGAGATACTCAGAACGAATGTCTGAAATATTTTCATCGGGCTCGCCTGAGCCAAACGATATTTACAGTCCACGAAGATCAATCGCTGGCTCTGTCGACGTACAGTCAGACGACGAAGGCAGTACTGGCTCAATGGATGAATGCAGTGATGAAGAGGATACCCATGGGCAATGCGTCGTCGAAACTAGAAGTGCCATGGAACATGACCAAAGACATGTGAAGCCTCAGGATCCTGGGTACCTCAGTGACTCGACATCGACTATTATTGAGTGTATGGCGGAGTAAGTGTCCCAAATCATATCAGGAATCCTCCTCGGTCTGCCTACTAAAGTAGTTTTCTTCCAGATTAGATGTGCGAGTGCAGTAAGTATATACATGTGAAAAACATGGCAGTATTCACATACTGATACGCGTCAGGTCTGTTGAGGACTCCCTCCTGAACCAGAATCTGTGGAACAACGAAATGCACCGAAAGGTGGCACATATCATGGCGATTGTCGAAGCTATGAGGAAAGACGTGGCTGCATTGAAAGAAAAGGTTGGGATGGTCTAGGAGGACAACGGCAGGGACAGTCATATTGAGGATCGAAAGTCCGGACACTTCAAGCGCCCAGCGCAGTGAGGCGGTGTTGCTATCATTCAGAAGTAAATCTAAGTGCACATTGTACTGGAAGGGCGCTGAATATTACAATAATCGATATAAGTCCTAAATAATCCGTCAATCGTCTATAAACAGTATTCCCTGACCTTAAATTATAGACGGCGTGGTATAGTATACTTCACTCGAACACTCTTTCCTGCCTTCAGGCAAGTGTGTCCCT